CGTGGGCGGTTCGAACTCGTCAAATGACGAGCTCGAGCCGAGCAGGGGGCTCGACTCGTCAAGCCCACGAGCAGCTCGTGGGCCGTGACGAGCCCATGGCTGGTGGGCTCATCAAAAATTTTAATTTTTTTAAAAAAAAGTCCAAAATATGCAATTTACCCCAAAAAAATAAAATAAATAAATCACGAGCTCACGAGCTGCTCCTGAGGCTCGGCTCGGCCTGCGAGCTCGTGGCTCGTGAGCTCACCAGCTCGTGGGCCGAGTCGAGCTCGCCCCCGAGCAACGAGCTGAGCTCGAGCTCGGCTCGTCTTCCACGAGCCACAAGCTCGGCTTGTCACAAGCCCGAGCCGAACTCGTGGATTAAAGGGTCGAGCCGAGCCATCATTACATATAATTGCATCACAGATTATCTATCTTAGAGTAACGCTACGTAGCTTATCATATTTTATAGTATGTTGTTAATTTATTAAGTTCAAAAATTTCAGAACACAAACTTATTGTTTTAAGATGAAACGAGTAATCGAATTTTTAAAGGAATTTTTTAAAACGAATAATTATTTTGTAAGAGATTAAGAGCTAGGATGTATGCAATCCTCCAGATTCAGAAATTCAAATAAAGATTTCCTAGTTTTGACTATTACTTTATGGATCATTTTATAATTAAAATTCTTAAATAATTGTTTCAATACGATAATTTTTGAAAGAAGATATTGTATATAAGTTATAATTTTAGTTAAATCAGATTGATCGTGATATCTTGCTAATATTAAATAGTTTTTGTAACATATTTCTTGTTCTGCTCATTTCCAAAAATAACGTTTTCCCTGTTATATTTTCATTTTGGTGCTGTATAAGCCCTCGTTTGGTAGCCATTATAAATACAAATTGGGAGAAAATGATGTTTTGAATAGTTATTTTTAAAAAATTTATGGTTAAAAAGTAGGGAAAAATTTTAAATTTACATTTAAATTATTTTATTATGTGAATGTGTAGTTGAAAATAAATATAAAAAATAAAGAGTTTTAGTTAAAGAGAGTACATTATTTTATTACGTGTAAATTATTTTATTAAGCTCCTGTTTGACAACCATACTTTTTAAAAGGATAATTAACACAGAACGTCTATGTATTTCAATGTTATTGTGCGAAACGTCTTTACATTTCATTTTTGACATTCTCACCTTTATTTCCATGTTTTATTACGAAAATCGTCATTTTCATCCACCTTCTTAATTAAAAATTGTGAAATGACAAATATACTCTCCTATTTAAATAAAAATAAATAAAAAAATAAAGAACTAATTATAATCATGGTTCCAAAAAAGAAATCAAAACTAAAAAAAACCAAAAACTTCGGTCAACCACCACTTTTGAATCCCAAAAACTTTGGCCAACTACCACCCAAACTGTCGGAACTCCATACTATTGGACAGCGCTCACTCCCCTCTACACATACCACCCAACCACCTTCTTTGGCGATTCCTGACCTTAAAATATGATAATAAAGGTAGACTATACACAAGAAAACTGAAAATTCTGTTAGATTCTGAAGTACTTCTGATTTCATTTGCCACCCTGAATTTCATAATTATCCAACTCCCCAAGCTTTCCCCCAGATTCAGCTTCTCTCTCCACAAACTATATTGTCCTAATTGAAAGTGCTCATTAAAAGATTCACATTGCTAAATTCTATCGATGCCATAGATGAAATCGAGAGATAATACAATTACTGTTGTTGGCACAAATGATACAATTGATTGGAACTTGTTGAGAAACAATCCTCAATTCGTCATACTCAACATTCTTTAATATGTTTCTGCAAGCCAGAAACCTGCGTTGCCAAAAACACAACTCAAAGAGTTGAAACAGAAATATACATTCCTACAACAGGATTCATGGGGATTTTACAGTCCCATTTTTTGGATGCATCAACTTGTCAACACAACTTCATTGAGACCCATGTCCTTTCATCATAGTGGTTGACTATACTCATCTTTGAGTACTTATTCATGGTCTTGCAACATCAACAGATACACACGATCAAAATTTATAGTCCCATTTTTCAAATCAAGTGAAGATGCAACTTTCGGTAGCGATTTTCAACTTCGATGGTGGGACCCATGATGGCGGACCACCTATTTCGACATCACCTGATCACAATGTATATTCCACTCATGGGGCTTCATTAATTTGGCCTCCCTATGATAAATCGAATAGGAATAGTACCTGTGTACCAGGAAGATTTTGGCTAAATCTCGTAACGTTAAGGTTGGTGGCTAGTGATGTGAGTGGAGATGAATGAGGGCCATCCAATGGTATGGACGTCTGACGGTTTGGGTGGTGGATGACCAGAGTTTTTTTGGTTTTTTTAGTTTTGACTTTTAATTATATATTTGTAATTCATTTGTAATATTTTGAAAATTTGAAATTATGATTACAATTAGCTAGCTCTTTATTTTTTCATTATTTTTTCTTTTTGTTTTATTTAAATAGGAGGGTATATTTATTATTTCACAACTTTTAATTAAGAAAATAGATGAAAATAATGATTTTCGCAATGAAATATGAAAATAAGAGTGAAAATGCAAAAAAATGAAAGGTAATGACATTTTGTACAATAACATTGAAAGGTAGGAGCATTTTATTCTAATTATTCATTTTAAAAAAAAAAGAGTTTTGAATAGTAATTTTTAGGAGAATGTGTGATTTAAAATATAGGAAAAAGTTTTGAATTTACGTGAAGAATATTTTACTTTGTGATTGAAAATGAGTATGTTAAATAAATAGTTTGAAAAGTATGATCAAAAGAAGTGTAAAATTCCACTTGTACGAAAAATTGAAATATATGAATCAGTGTTTTTTGGACCCTCTCAACTATTTCTCTTGAACAGCTTGGAAAAATCATTAATGATTTGTGAGTACTCATCACCATGGTATGTTATTTCGTAATTTTCTTTTAATTGAACGCCACCATTCATGTACGTGCAAATTACATCCATCCATATTTTTTAAGACCTCACTTAAGAAATCAGATGCAAAGTTTGTTTAATAAAAATTCAGATTATAATTATAATTTTTAATATTAACGATACTATTATAAAATTAATATAGAACCTGTTTGGGAATGATTTTGAGAATTGATTTTTTGATCGTTAGAAAAAAATAGGGTCCACTTGTGAGAGAAGAAATCAAATATGACGACTGAAATAGTAAAATAACGATCAAAAAATTAATTTTTTGAGTGAAAAAATCGGGCCCAAACAGCCCCATAATTTACATTTCCCACGCACTATTATTAACCCTAATCACTTTCCCCTCTCTTTTCTCACTCTACCTCTTCCTTCTCTCTTCATTTCAGTGACTTATCACCATCGGTGGTGTGCAGATTTCTGGCGACTTACCTCCATAGCCGGTGCGTAGATCTCTAACGATTTACCTCCATCGCGAAGAGCGGCATGCCCTTCTCTCGATCGAATCAGTCAAATCAGAGGCAAATCGAAATGCACAGCAAACCCTTGATCCTCATCCTTTCACCGACGACAATGGGTGGTGTGGAATGCGCAGCAACAAGTCTGCTTTCACGGGAGCAGCACGCCTATTGCACGAGAAGTCGCATAAACGGGTAGTAACGATGCACGGCGAGAGTTTTTGAGTTGATTAGTAGTGTATTGAGGTGTAGGTATGGGTGGGGATGACGGTGGCTTGTTTAGGAACTTTGTTGTTTGTGGTGGCGATTGTGGTGTAGGTGGCAGAGACGCGGCTTCTTTGTTTTTTGTTCGTTTGTTTGTTTGTTTGGTTTTTTTGTTTTTTTTGTTTAGGTGGTGGAGGTTGTGATATATTGAGGTGTAACAGGGTAGGTGTAGAAGGTGGTAGAGATGGAGGACATAATGAATTTGGTATAGGCAATGGTTGGTGCAGGCATTGTTGATGCTGTTGGTAGTTGTGGTGGTCATGTTGGTATAGGCGGTGGTGTTGGCGGTGGTAGTGTATTTGTCGTGACGGTATCTGTGGTAGTGTTGGTTGTTGTCATCGTCGTGGTGGCAGCAACGTTGGCAACGATAGTGTTGTTAGAAGCAATTTTGACTGTGATTCACAATTGATTAATCGTGACTAATAATTGGTTAATTTGTAATATGTGACCTAAAAATTATAACTGTGACTTACAATTAATTAAGTTGTGATCAAAAAATTATTCGTAACCAATTCATCTAATAATTTGTAATGAATAAATAAGCTGTGACCATTAAAAGTTTTTATTCTATGATCGATAAATAATTTGTAACAGATAAAATTTTTGATTTGCGATCGAAAAGTAATCTGCGTCCTATAACATTTTTGATTTGTGATCGAGAAATAAGTTATGACTAAAAATTAATCTGTAATTAATTAATTAGATAATCGTGATCAAATTATATAGAATTATGACCTCAATATATTTAATTAGTAAAATATATATTTAATAAATTAATTTATAAATAAAATTTTAAAAAATCTGATTTATGAAATTTGAAACCTTTATTTTTAATTTTGAAATGATTAATACTTAACTTCTTAGTTATGAAATTTTTCCTTCGTATATTTATATTGCAATCAGTAACATGATAATTGTGTTAATTGTTCAGAAATGAAAAAACACGTTTGTTTTGATGAAAAGTCAAATATTCAAAGAAGGTACAATTTTTCAAAACTACAAAAGTTGATAAATGATCTCTTATAGTTTGCATTAATACGATAATAAATTATAATACATGCGTAAAAAGAAATAATATAACATTATATTTAAGTTCACAAGACTATCAAGTCCTTGTTTGAGTCCTATTTTTATCAAAATATATTTTTTTCTTTATTCTTTTTAACAACACATCATTTAATAAAATAAGATTATATATGAATCGAAAACTTTTTCTTATTTTTCTTATAAAAAAAAAAATCCATGAGAAACCCACAAAATATTGATTGCATAATCTAGACTAGAAATTAGGGAGGAAAAAAAAAAAAAAATTGACACGATAACTTATAATTTAAAGAAGCTGTAAATATTCATCATAGACTTGTTCAAGCATGTTTAAATGAGTTGAACACTCTGAATGTGGGAGTGACATATCAAATCCACCGAAAAATTCAAGTTCTTGAGATTCTCCATGAATTCCATAATTTGCATCCTCAAGCGCAAACAAAGCCCAGTCCACATACGACGCCGTTCCAGCAAGTGTAGCATTTTTTCGCACATCTGATTCACTTGATGATGCGCCACTGAATAAACTGTCAACGCTATTGCTTCTTGAGAATGCTGAAGAAACCCTTATGGGTTTGGGAAGATAAACTGCAGTCCTAGGAGGTGCTTTTGAGTGGTTTGTATTTTCTTCATTGATTTTCTTGTTTTGCTTCCTTTTCTGCTTGCCCTTGGCTTCTGGAACTGTGGATTTCAATTTTGGCAAATCTTTGCGCTCTTTGGGTTCGATTCCAGCAGTTCTTAGCTTCTTGAGAAGATGTGTATTCCAGTAATTCTTGATCTCATTGTCGGTTCGACCCGGCAATCTTCCTGCAATGAGTGACCATCTATTTCCCAGAAGGGAATGGAGTCTAGTTATTAAGTCTTCTTCATCAGGGGTGATGTTTCCTCTCTTAATTCCAGGCTTTAAATAGTTCATCCATCTCAATCTGCAGCTCTTCCCACATCTCAACAGCCCTATAAAATTTTATATATTAATAACCAGACTGAGACTCTGACGGAATAAAAATGAGAATACAATTCACTCCGTGTTATCATAACGAAGCAAGACTCTGTTGACATACCAGCTTTCTTGGGGAGAGATCTCCATTGGCCATCTCCGTGTTCTTGAATGTAATTTGTTAGCAAAGCGTCTTCTTTGGTTGACCATGGTCCTCTCCTCAACCCCACTTTAGAGCAGCAAGGGGATCTTCCCATTTTCACTTCCCTTTCTTTTTCTCAACAGCGGTTGGGGACAGAGAGCACAGCAAATGACAAATTGATTCTTTGTGCTTCTGTATATAAGCAACGAGAATAATTTATTGAGTTAATTTTTCAATTGTTTACATAAAACTTCAAATTGATAACTAAATTAATTTTTTACTCTATTAGTGACTGAAGTTTATAAGGATTTCACACACGTCCTTGATTAAATCCATTAATTGCCACATTGAACTAAATGGCAACAATCCACCTGATCAAACTCAATTAACACAACTAATACTACGCGTGTTGAAGAAAAATCACAATTTCATCTTTCATTTGATACCATAGCCTATGCTAAATAGTAAAAAAACAAGGTGAAGTTCATATCTTGGAATAAATCTTGCCGATATTTTATGCAATTAAACCAAAAGGGATGACCAAACATCAAAATTAACGGTGACATGTTGGCTTATACATTAGTGTTATTTTTATTTTTTATTTTTTTCAACCAAAACCTCATTGACTAATTTGAAATTTCTTACAAACTTCAGTTATAATCGGGAAATGAACTTACAATTTATTACAAAATGAACTTATAATTTGAAATACTTGATGGATGATGCAAAACGCCAAAAACTAGTGTCACAATCAATATTTTATGCAAATGGTGTGTGACCTAGAAAATAATAATTTATTACATAATTTGAGAGCATATCTCCGAATATCTGCCGGTTATATCACTCCAGTGGACTCCTTCCACCACTTAACAGCCACATTAAAAAATGTTAGATCCGATCTCAGACGTTGCCACTGTTTCCTAAGCTTCGTAAATTGTATATTTCCTCACTAACTATCACGTTTTAAATTTATTACAATGTTTATTTATTTAAATTTTCTTGTAACATGGTCCTTATCATTGCTCCTCACTCATCTTATACTTTCTTCTCCGTCTCATTTGAAAATTTAAACAGTCAAAAAATAAATTGTGTTAAACTATAATTAAAATATAATATTAAAAACAATTTCGTAAATGTGTAACATCTCTAGCATGTATTTCAAAAGGAACAATCTTATTTACTATAGACGGTGTTATCTCTAGATTTATCACTATATGAACTTAAAACTCTATTAATATTTTTTTATATGTAGTATGACCTTATTATTATTATTATTATTATTATTATTATTATTATTATTATTATTATTATATACTAGTAGCAAGCACGTACGTTGTACGTTTTATGTATCGGACAAATGACATGTCTAATATTTTTAAGTAATAATAATGTTTTTGGAAGTAGTTTGTAGTTGATGTAATTAATATTACTAAAGGAAAAATTTTAATTGTTAAAAAAAAAATATGTATATGAATAACACATTTTACAAAATTATGTATATAATGTGAAATGTTTAATAAATTGAAATGTAATATTTTCATTTGAATAACATTTCTTTGTACACAATATTTTTTGTCAACATTCTACAACTTTTCTTCTTTTTATTTTCTATTTTTAGTCTTTTATCAAGACTTTTGTTGTCTGCATTGAAACTCCACAAAAAAGTGTGAAATATAGTTGTCCATAAGATAATACATGTTCATAAATGTATATTCTAATAGTAAGTATTGTTTATCCTTAAATTTTGTTAATGATATTGCAAGTATGGATGTATTGAAAATTGTTCTCTTTTAAATTTAAATAAATATCCTTCATCATTTGTTGGAGTTAATGGGATGCGCAGATACTATTTGACAACAATGTATTTAGGAACTCCTCTTGATAAAATTGATTTGTATTTAGATTCCACACAAAAGATAAAAATGAGAATCAAATATGAAATGAAATTACTAAAAAGAACATACCTTGAGGATGAATAATTAAAATAATCAAATATTGAATTGAATTAACAATAAGCAAGCATGTCAAAAACAACTAAATTCTATTACTACTACAAACAAATGGCGTGCTTAAATTCGTAAGAATGAATTATTATTATTAATTTTTTCTTTATAATGGCAACTTCATTTACATTACAAAATTTTTACTTTAACATAACAAAGTTCTTATCCGATTTGTTTGAATATAAATATGTTAAATTAAATTTAAAAAGTAAAATATGTATATATGTGAATATTAAAACGCCAAAATGGATTATTAGGTTTGAAAATATTTAATTGTGTTAGTAATAATTAGTAATAATTGTATATAGTGGAAATTAATTGACTTAATTTTTGAAAGCAATAAGAATTATTAATTATCTTATTTAGAAGTTATAAGTCGAATATTAAGGGTATTTTTCACCACAAATATAAAAACATAAAAGTAAAATGCGAAATCGAATGTTTAACATCTATTCACACTTAGCTTATTGAAAAATGATTTTTTCGTATTATATTTTATCAAATTAATATAAATTAATGGTGATTAAAAGTTTATGGATTATTATAAAATAACTTTTCATCTAATACTTATTAAGTAAACATTAGTTAACGGGATTATTTTTTCAATAAAATCTTCTAGGAATGCCTTTTAATCTATAATATTAGGTCTAAAAAAAATTAATGTATATATAATTTTATTGTTTTTGTAAATCTTATATA